TTACAGATCTCATGTAAAATATCTTATAATAATGTCTAATATAATCCTGTAGGGGGGGGGGATCCTAGATTTCCTGGACCCTAGACTGCCATTGGAGGAAGATTGGCCATATGCAAAAAAAAAAAAAAATTATATATATAAAATAATATAATATAAGACATTAAGACTTGTTCTCAGAGAATATATCTTGAATGAAATTGAATTAATTCTTGAATGAAGTCCAAAAGTTTAAATCTTAATCTTACACGCTTCACTTCTCAATCAAATTGATCTTGTTTTACGAATGGGTTACACTTTATTTCGAGTCAACTTTAGACATTCTACTAACTGTAAGTAACTTTGCAACTAACTCTCATTGGAGTACTAGTAGACTGTTAGGTTAGGGTTGGTAGAATAAGTTGACATGTACTTGCAAAGTCACTTATAGTTAGAGATCGAAATAAAGTGTTACCTAAGAATGTTCCAATACTTTTACTAGAAACCACGACAAAAATACTGATTGTTTCATTGACCATAAGTCCGTGAACTAGAGATCTGACTTTTACAAAGAAGAAATTTCTCCTCCAACATGAGCAGGTGCATCAGAAAGCTTTCCTAAGTACCTTTCCTGCCTTCCAAGGCTTTCAGCATTCCCTGATAGTGCAAGTCATCTGAAGGGATCCTCTCCCTCTCCAGACTGTCGGACGAATATTCCCTCCGTCTCTGTTGCGCACTCATCTCCTTTGCGTAATACAGAGTCACAAACCGCAGTTCTTTACAAGCTCCTTATCTTCACCTCTCCAAGTGGAAAGTTGCAGCGATGTTCCCGTTAAGACGCTCCGTTCTGCTTTCTTTCTGTTTAATTCCTGCTGTCCATTTTCTAGCTCTTGTAAATGATGCCAGCAGCTACAGGTTGTGGGTCTGCTCTTGTGCCGTTCTGACTGCAGTGAGACATGGTGGTTGGAGGGCATTGCGGGATACGCTTGGCCCCGCCTCAGCCCTAAATTGTCATGTTGGTGGAGCCGAGGCAGGAAGAAGGGGTGGAATCAGGGAAAGTGAGTGGGAAGGTGTGTCCGCCAGCATGCCTCATCTAGAATCCCACACCCTCTCCAAACACACACACACACACACTAAATCATCACAGTCTCTAAAGAATAACGCAACGGAAGCCGAGAGTGGAGAGTTGTGTAGCTTCACGCGCTAAAACGAGTGTGTAGAACTGGTCAAAAGAGTCATTACAGGAACAGGATTGCACAATGACGCTCTAAAACTACTCATGCCAATAGACATCACACACACACATATGCACGCACACGCCTCTTTAATTATTAACCACTGTGACATACCTGAGCGGTTGGGCAAGTATGACTAACTGAGGCAGGGTGAGGCTCTGGGATGGGCCGCTCAGGTCTACACATGCTGGAGATTAACAGTAAAATACATAACCAGAGGCTGCAAAATCAACAGCCAGAAATACAAAGAAAACTCTTTATAAGAATCATTTCTTTCCTGTTTGCATGAGTGTGTGCTTATGTGATCGTGCTGAACCTGCACGTGCACCATCTTCCGTCACTAACGAGTGTGTAGAAATGTTCGAAGTTGTAAATAAAAGAAAATACTATTTCAGTCTATCCACTTCAATGTTTAACATCAATTCCATGTGTTACTCGCAATTTCTCTCACAACAGGTGATGAGTGACAGCTCTGCTCATGTCATAAAGACATAAACCTAGAGCTCAGAAGATGAAGACGAGGATGGGGCGTTCATCACATGCTCATCATCTGAACAGACATGCACCTTAAACGTTTGACAATCTGTTCAGGCTCACCGGTAACTATAACAGTCTGAACATGACAGTGTTTGCAGGAATGTCTATCTTTTACGAGATATGACATATTTCTCAGCGGATATGGAAGTTGACGCCTTCATTTTATAGACGTCTAAATGTCTATTGATGATACAGAAGAAAGTATTAAGGTGTGGCACAAAAAACTACCAACACCTATAACAGCATTCACAACCTTTTTTTTTTTTTTACATTTTCTTCAGTTTATGATTTTAAATGATTACTACCCACTGTGATTTCAAGTTGTGCACAATTATTTATCTATGTATTTATATATGTATGTATGCATGTTTTGGGCTTTTTTTTAATGCATCACGGATCATGCATCAAAACTGACCTTAAAGACATTTATAATGTGACAAAAGATTTCTATTTCAAATAAATGCTGTTCTTTTGAACTTTCTATTCATCTGTGAATCCTGAAAAATAAAATGTATCACATTTTCCACAAAAATATTGGGCAGCACGACTGTTTTCAACATTGAGCTTCACGCGCTAAAACGAGTGTGTAGAACTGGTCAAAAGAGTCATTACAGGAACAGGATTGCACAATGACGCTCTAAAACTACTCATGCCAATAGACATCACACACACACATATGCACGCACACGCCTCTTTAATTATTAACCACTGTGACATACCTGAGCGGTTGGGCAAGTATGACTAACTGAGGCAGGGTGAGGCTCTGGGATGGGCCGCTCAGGTCTACACATGCTGGAGATTAACAGTAAAATACATAACCAGAGGCTGCAAAATCAACAGCCAGAAATACAAAGAAAACTCTTTATAAGAATCATTTCTTTCCTGTTTGCATGAGTGTGTGCTTATGTGATCGTGCTGAACCTGCACGTGCACCATCTTCCGTCACTAACGAGTGTGTAGAAATGTTCGAAGTTGTAAATAAAAGAAAATACTATTTCAGTCTATCCACTTCAATGTTTAACATCAATTCCATGTGTTACTCGCAATTTCTCTCACAACAGGTGATGAGTGACAGCTCTGCTCATGTCATAAAGACATAAACCTAGAGCTCAGAAGATGAAGACGAGGATGGGGCGTTCATCACATGCTCATCATCTGAACAGACATGCACCTTAAACGTTTGACAATCTGTTCAGGCTCACCGGTAACTATAACAGTCTGAACATGACAGTGTTTGCAGGAATGTCTATCTTTTACGAGATATGACATATTTCTCAGCGGATATGGAAGTTGACGCCTTCATTTTATAGACGTCTAAATGTCTATTGATGATACAGAAGAAAGTATTAAGGTGTGGCACAAAAAACTACCAACACCTATAACAGCATTCACAACCTTTTTTTTTTTTTTACATTTTCTTCAGTTTATGATTTTAAATGATTACTACCCACTGTGATTTCAAGTTGTGCACAATTATTTATCTATGTATTTATATATGTATGTATGCATGTTTTGGGCTTTTTTTTAATGCATCACGGATCATGCATCAAAACTGACCTTAAAGACATTTATAATGTGACAAAAGATTTCTATTTCAAATAAATGCTGTTCTTTTGAACTTTCTATTCATCTGTGAATCCTGAAAAATAAAATGTATCACATTTTCCACAAAAATATTGGGCAGCACGACTGTTTTCAACATTGATAATAATCAGAAATGTTTGTTGGGCAGCAATTCAGAATATTAGAATGATTTCTGAAGATCATGTGACACTGAAGACTGAAGTAATGATGCTGAAAATTCAGCTTTGATCACAGAAATAAATTACATTTTAATATATATTCACATTGAACAGCTATTTTAAATTGTAATAGTGTTTTATAATATTACCTTATAATATTGACTGACTACTTTTATATTTACACAAGTATGCAACCTCATTAGCTTTGACCAGCCTTATTTAATCACAGTGCCCTTTCTGTTCATGAAGCTTATTAACTTCATTAACTTAATTAGATCATTTATTATAGATCCATTCACATATATAATTACTAGAGAACTGATTAAAATTGGTTAATTATATAATGATATTGATAATAACTAATTTAAACCACAAAGAAAGAGTATTTCTGCTGATTGCAAGGATACATTTATGTCATGCTCTTTTCATGTGTTTTTAGCAAAGGAGCCCACAAGATTACCAGCTGTTTCCAAACGGCATAACATCATTCACAGAACAGCTGATACTGAATGCACACAAAATGACAAGAGCTGGCTGAGATCTGATTGGCTGGATTAACAATGAGCGCTTCTGAAGACGAGTTACACGGCGTTATACAAATACAGCCTTTGAAGATGTTCAAGAGCTTTGTTTGAGACACGTGATATCCTTCAGCACACCCATATATTTAGATGAACTCGTCCTTAAATGACATCTAAAAAAAATAGCTAAAAGTTGGTTCTCGGCCAGAGCTGCAATTTGGACCAGACTTTATTCCAACAGTCAAGTCTACACAAGACGGATCATTCACACGCGCAGGGTGAAGCATGATGGACTTTTTGAATCAATATCAAGTATTCATCTTTCAGCCTCACATACACACACCCCAGATCTTGCTATGAACCACATGCACACAAAACTGCTCTGGATCTGAGGTCAGACGAGCAGATGCGGGCAAAAGTCAACGTGAGCCAGTCAGAAAAAGTTTGCATGTGTTTTTTTTGTGTTAGTATCATATTTGATACATCAGTCTTCATATAGTATGATTTAGAGGATATGGAGGAAAAACTGTAAATTTTTTATTCAGAGGCCAAAACTGTGCAAAATAATGCAATTTGCTGCAGATGCTGATATTTATATGACAAAAAGTATGATGGAATTCTGATGCTTGTCATGTAAATCAATGAGATCTTTATAACAGTATCGCAGATACTTACATAAAATGATCTAAATATCAGTCGTCACTCTATATCTCCAATAATGTGTGTTAGTAAGATGAGATTGAAATGATCCAAACATATAATGCAATGCAATCCAGTGATGATTGAGAGATGAAGAAATAAACGCTCCTCAAAAGATCCTGAGGATCAGATTTGAGACTCTAAAACATGATTGATGGAGAATCAAGTAAAGCTGAGCTGCTTCAGTCCAGTAAGTGTTCATCTGGAAATATTACTAAAAATATCAAAGTTATTCTTATGTTTGCTTTCATAGCAAAAAGACACGTGAAGCTCCAGCTGAAGCTGGACGTTTCTACAATTACACTGAAATTAAAACACATTTTGATCACTCCGAGGCTTGGAATGTGTGCATCAGATATGACCCAGGCTCTATAGGGTTAAGAGCGACTCTGACCCGCCGGGTGTGTCTCGACGCCGGGTTTGATGAGTTTCCACACTCTCAGGCTGGGCGTCTCGGTCAGAGGAGGCTCTCTCCGCACCGGGATCCGGCTGGGCCGAGGCTGCAGCTCACATCTGAAAGAGACTCACAGACTCAGAACCGGTTCACTGTGCTTCATCACGTCTGTGTGTGCGTCTCAAATGCTGACGTTCACCTGCTGTACTCGACAGACGTCAAGATGTCCAGAGATTCCCGCAGCGGCTCCTGAAAAACAGGCCCAGTGCTGCTCACATCCATAAGGCGTCTGCATGTGTTTCTGTGCTGATTCCCTACCTGTGACAGCAGCGCCGTCCTCTGCTGGGGGGAAGGAGAGGGGGCGGGGCCTCTGCTGCACTTGCCCCGCCCACCGTGCCTTTGAATCTCTTTAATCTGTCCGGCTGGGTGGAACTCAGGGCAGCTGTTGCCTAGGCAACAAGACAGACAGACACAGCCAGTTATAAACAGGTTCCACGGTAACCGTGGTAACAGTGGAAGGAGCTATGTGACAGTGGAATAGTAAAAAAAAGGTCAAAGGTCACAGAAGCAGTTCAAACAGGATGTTTATTAGAGAAAAGTCAGTTCGGATGCGTCTATCATGTTTTACAAGATACATTTATGAATGAGCACAGCATCATGTGGTTTACAGGAGACACGCGTGATTGGCTGCCGTTACACATTCAGAGACAGACGGGACGAGAAAACCTACAGCGTCAGCATGAACACACAGTGAAATAGCGAAGAGATGTGGAGAGAACAGGAAGTACACGACACCGAGCACCAGATCACGCTACATTCACACACACGCGGCGTCTGCTACACGCTACACTCGTCACACACAGCTCTGCTAAACTGGTTTAGAGCCGTCTGTACCGTGTGCTTTACATCTGTAGGTCTGACATCAGCTGAAGGAATTCTGGGATTAAAGCAGCTTCGTGTGTAAAAAACAGCTGCGTTTCGCTCATCCGTGATGTTATATCTACAATGCCACACACACGAGCACGAGAGAATCTCACAGACAAATGTCATATTTCACCCCAAACATACAGAAAGAAAGAAGAACTTATATTTAAATATCAGTCGTCACTCTATATCTCCAATAATGTGTCTCAGTAAGATGAGATTGAAATGATCCAAACATATAATGCAATGCAATCCAGTGATGATTGAGAGATGAAGAAATAAACGCTCCTCAAAAGATCCTGAGGATCAGATTTGAGACTCTAAAACATGATTGATGGAGAATCAAGTAAAGCTGAGCTGCTTCAGTCCAGTAAGTGTTCATCTGGAAATATTACTGCAGTTATTCTGACATTTACTTGATAAAAATCAGTCAAGATCTGACAGCAGAAAGACACGTGAAGCTCCAGCTGAAGCTGGACGTTTCTACAATTACACTAAAAGAGCTTTTACTTGATAAAAAAACTCTTAACTATCAATCAGACGATAGAAAGCATGGAGTAGATTGTGTGCGACAGGTTTAACAGCAAAGTTTTGATCATGTTGATCATTTAGAGGCCTTAGAAATGTGATACACTAAGCTTTACAGGCAGAGTTGAGAGTGTACAGAAGCAACCTGGAACATCACAGATATAACTGAAGGTTGTCTTCATAGATATTGAGACTGATGTTGGTAACTCCTCACATTCCTGTGTTAGGCGTAACCAAACCACATTAGCCGTGAAAGTGCCTCCCAATCCCAACTTTCTCTCTCTCTCTCCCCCTGTGGATCTGTGTGTGTGTCTCTCTCTCTGCGTGTGAGAGCGTGTCGAGGGATGTGTGTCTGTCTGTCTGTGTGTCACGCCCGGAGAGAGAGGAATGTGCGCACGTCAGCTTTGATCACAGACACACCCTGTCCTTCCCAACCAGAACAACACGGACACCTGAGCGCTTTTTCTCCCGCTCCATAATATGCTTGTACTTTTTTATGTGATTTTCCATTCGCTCAATTCCGAGAGCCAAGGAGCATTAAAACTCCAATAAGCATCTGTGCTTATCTAAATGTTGTGATGTGACAGTCAGCACTGGGTTTGGGGAAATCTCAGTTCAGCTGGAGATCAACAGAACATCAACAGCAGCAGCTGAGATCTAAAATAACCCATTAGAGCTTCTGCGCTCGTCTCAGCCAGCATGGAAAACAGACGGAGCTACCAAACACTTCTGCAAACTCACTCACAGGCCTCTTCAAAATGATGACATGCACTTCAAAAGCGTAATATAAGACGCATATTAAAGTCAACATGAAATCAAAATCACTAGATTTACTTTCTTATTGCACATTCACCTCTGAACGATTTATCAGACCAAGTTATTTCAAGTAATAATAAACTAACTTTTTCTTTGTAATCTTTAATGTGCGTGTAAAAACTTGCTCTGAAACAACTTTATTCTTCCCCTGAAGTCTGACTGGTAAAGCCAAACATGTTTCAGTCTGTCTGCTGCGAATCTTGTGAAATTAGTGTATAAAACACAACCAGGAGGGACTTTTTCCATTTTTTTTCCATCAAAAGCCCTGTTCCCCGTCTCCAAACTAACCTGGTCACGCGTGAGAAATATTAGAGGAGGTCAAACTTTTGCAAAGAAAAGTGAGTTTTGCTAGTGTTTTTCATGCATTAAAATTGGAAAAAAAAAGTAAAAAAAAAAAAAAGTAAAATGAAGGTACATTTAATAATTTTTTCAAATTAATACATTTGACTAATATAAAATATTTTATTTTTAATACGGAATTGTTACATTAGTTTGTATAAAATGATTAAATCTCTCTCTTAGTGTTCATGCAACCAAAATTTACCTTATTTTAATGCATCCTGTTCTGTGCATGATTCATTGGTGAACAATGAAAAAAAAAAAGTTTGTTCATAATTGATTAAAATTTATAATAAAAAAAACTGGCTCTGTTTTGACTTTTCTGCAATTTTCTCATTGATTATCCAGTTGCATGCAGAAATCATTCACATCATGAAAATAAATTGGGCTTTGATCAGGGTTTCACGTTGACTTTAAATATTTGCCTCCCTCTTCCGGCCAATAATTAGGACATAATCGTAAAACACTTGGCAGGTAATTTTACAATAGCTGAGGTATCTGAACAGCTGAGGGAAACATCATCTAGAAAGGATAAAGATGACGAACACGCCGTGTCACTGACCTGAATGAGATCAGCTGAAAACTATGACACGACTTCTGCTTTTGACTGCATTGCCTTAGTGACACAATAACTTGTTTACATCTGAGATGCTGATGGTGCAGATACGATGGATATCTGAGAAGAGTTGTCCAAACACACAGTAGCCATGGCAGCAGATGAGAAGCACACACTCTTACTCATGTCTGTATTTATAGTCTGAACCGCAGTGGGAGGATTCATCACTTATTGTGAAATTACTTCACAAACCAAAATAAATTTAAGAAAAGATGAGTGGTAGATCACTTCAGCTTCTTACGTCAAATCCAAATGTGCTCATGAGTAATAGATACATGTAACCATGGGCTTTTCCAGCGCCCAGAATATTCAATGTAAATCCCCAGCTTTATGACCTTGTCCATATTATTAAATTAGGACGCCTGTTTTGTCAATAATAAAATGTGTGTTTGAGGAAGAGAATAATGCCAGTTGAGCATTTCAGTATTAGCTTCAGTAAAAGTGAAGGAAATAAAAGCTTTTTTTTTTTTTAAATGAATCATCTGTCTTGTTTCATGCTGTATCTCATCTTCAGTGAAACAAATTATAGCACCGGAGTATTAAACTGGAACTTCGTCATTTTAACACTAGATGGCGACTAAACACAATATCCACAAGAGAAAAATGCATACATTGTGCATTTACTATACATTTTCTCTGTCAGATATCATGTATCACATCCTTCCTGACAGATCTCACTGAAAAAGGTGTGACTGCGACAGAAAACAGTGACATTTAAGGTAATGACCTGCCAGTTTTTCTAATCCGCCATTAGATACTGCTTGTGAATCAATCGTTTTGCATGTTTAGTTTTGCTGTGTCTTTAAAGGTCGGGGGGTTGTGGATGGGCATGGCTAAGTCAGACAGTTTAGCAAAACAGCAAAAACTGCTTTTCATTCACAATAAAATATTAGCTTTCTACTTAACTTAAAGCGGTATACACTGTATTTAAACAGTACTATTCTACATTGTTGTCACATGACCTCACCATATTGTATATGAATGGCATATAGTCATTTCAGAAATAAATTATTGTGCATTTAGTTTAAAGGGATAGTTCACCCAAAAATGGAGGTAAAATATGATATAAATACTGTTCGGTTTCTGGCACAAACCGATCGTTTCGTGTCTTAGGACATCAATGTATCGTCATGAGCCGCAGGGTTTAATTTGGTTTTGTTGGTGTATGTTTTTTTGACTCTCAAAGCCGGGATTCCCATACACTTCCATTATATGACTGACAGACTGCAACGGTTTGAGTTAAAAATCTCAGTTTGTGTTCTACTGAAGAAACAAAGTCACCTACATCTTGGATGCCCTGGGGGTAAGCAGATAAACATCACATTTTCATTTTTGGGTGAACTATCCCTTTAATTTCCTTCAGAAATTCAGCATTCTGTGCCAAGTATACTATAAATCATGCAGTAAGAGTAGTATGCTGTTCTGAACATAACTAGCGTTTAATAAACTGCCAGTTGCAAAAAAAAAAAAACATTCAACATTCTACTTTTTTGTTTTATTTTTAGATACTACTTTGGTCATTAAAATGTAGGATAATTATACAAGAATTAAAATAGTTTCGATGTAGTTTTAGATATGTACAGACATGTCATGTTAACTACACATAAGCGTATAAGTAAGTGCATGTATTCAGCATGTACTGCGGTAGAGCCATGTGAAGTGAAAGCACGTCATAATACATAACAAACTGGCACCAGACTGCCAAAGTAAAGTGATTTAAGTGATTTATCATTTCACCAGCAGGATTGAGATGATTAAACCAGCCAGACTTTACATAACAGTCAATGATGTGAATCAGACTCTATAACAGTGGTGTGATCGAGTGAAAATCCTCCAGTGTGGAGCTGGAGTGACTGAGAGAGGTGTGTTTGTATATCAAACTTACCAACACAACACACCAGTCTCTCTCCATAACTGCTCTGGGAAATAATTCCATCACTGCAAAACATCCTGAGACATGGCCAGCGTCTCCTGCATCTTAAAGACGGCTAATGATTTCAGTCACAGGCAATCATGAAACTGTATGGCCTCTGTTATCCAATGGCAAAGCTGCCTATCTCATCTATCTATCACTGAGGAATGGACATTTAAATAAAACTTAACAGACTAACAGATAAGTCATGCAACTTTTTTTTTTTTTTTAAATTTAAGAAATTTAAAGAAATTATCCAAGAAGCCTTGTAAGGCTATTTTCATTTAAATTTTCAGTAAACATTTGGTAATTTTGTTCTGTGTCTGCCATTTATTTTTTTAATGTCTAGATAGTTTTTATTATTTTATAGTTCAGCAAGATAAACTAAATGAAAATGAAAAATATTTCCTTGGCAACTCAATGGAATAAAATAATTTTAGATTTTATTTATTTATTTATTTATTTATTTATTTTAGTTAACTATAGGACATACAGAGAAGTTGTGATTATATATTTGACTCTACAAATTTTATTATGATTATCTGATTCTGATAACCACTAATGATTTTGTAACAGACCAGATCGCCAACCTAATGAACACTGAGGCCAGTGAACTGTTATGAAATTATAATTCTGACATGCCATAAAATAATTTTTAAAAAAATGGTAATTGCAACTTTTTCACAATTTAGAATTTTTTACTCATAACTCAGACTTTTGTTTCAGAATTGCACAATTTTAACTATGATATATAAACCCGGAATTGCAAGAGAAAAGTCAGAATTGTGAGTTTACATCTTGCAATTCTAAAGTTTATGTCTTGAAATTCTGCCTTTTTCTCAGAACTCTGAGCTTATATCTCAGAACTGCGAGGGAAAAGTCTGAATTGTGAAATAAAAAGCAATGCAATAAGCTTTTTTTATTCCTTGGCAGA